TACCAGAGTTCTGGGAATTTGAGGCTACTGCGCAGGATCTTAGTAGTTCCTAGCCCTGCACTTCTCTGGACAGAGTTCTGATGTCATTACTGGGATCTCGTAGAGCCATTTTCCCAGTTTAGCAATCACAGCCTCAAATGCTCCTACCACTACTGGGACCACTTTATTTTCCATATCCTGTCCAATTTTTTCTTCAGGCCCTTGTGCTTCTTTAGATTCTCATACTTTCTTCCTGATTTGCTATCAGTTGGCACCATTACATCTATCACATCTATCATAATGCCTGATAGATTGGCTAGTACCCGCCTGTCTGTCAGGATCAGGAAGTCTCATAGAATCTTAGTTTCCTTATTCTTCAATCTTCTGTGGGATGGCTATCTGGACTTAGGAAGGTCTAGCCAGAGGTGAAATCTAAAATTTGTTACTACCGGTTCTGTGGGCATGGCTTGGTGGTGGTGGGGGGGTGGGGGTAATGTGACTGGGTGGGCGTGGCCAACTTCTTTTTTTTTTACTTTTAAAAACTTTTTTTGGCTGAAGAGGTTGTAGAAAAAATGCTTTTAAAAGTAAAAAAACAGCCTCTAATAATCGCGTGGCTCAGCTGGGCATGGGGGAGGTTGCAGGGATTTTTGCTACCGGTTCTCCGAACCACCTGCTGCCATCCCTACCAGATCGAGTAATCCGGTCCGAACCGGGAGCATTTCACCTCTGGGTCTAGCCCATATTCTGTGCAAATATTCTTGTACACAATGCCAGCTGCCACTATGTGTTGAACTGTTTCTGAGGTTGTCTATATGGTCTACACTTTAGGTCCTGTCTAATGTGGTGGAACTGCTGCTTAGTGTCTGTTTTTGTGTTGCTATGATCAGTATGGTCTTGTAGTCCAGCCCATTCCAGTGACTGATAGGATTTCCCAATGTCTGCCATCTTAGCTATCTGTTAATAGTACATCCCATGCAGAGTCTTGTAAGCTTCGGAAAAGTGCTTTCTTTTTGAGAAAATTTATGTAAACATCTCTTCAAAGCTGCTTGTTGGCCTCTTCCACTTCTAAAACAAAGTAAAGCTCTTGCATTGCTTCACATTAAGGTGTTTCAAACTTTTGTTTGATAGTATCAATAACCAGAAGGTGTTTTTGCAACTGTATGGAAAAGATTCTTTCAAAACTAAACTTCCCAAACAAGAGTTCTGTATAACACAAAGGCAATCCTACCACTTCAGCAAGAAAACTGCATTGCCTCCCACCAAGCAAAACACAGGCATTTTGTAAAGACAAAGAAAAAGAAATAAGAAAAAAGAAATAAAATCTTATTTCCACAACTGACAGGGAAATATTTGGGATAGTTTACATTTTTGTTAACAAAAAAGAACTGAACACAATTTTGTGAGTGTTATAATACATTTTCATTCTGTCTGCTTAGAAAAATGATCAAAGCAAACATGAGAACATTGAGTGTTGTGCTGATTTCATTGAAAGGAATAGGAAAGGTGAAAGTGTCTCTACTTTGGCCAGTTGTTATTGGCACATTTGAGAGATTTTGAGTCAGATGAAATATGAAGGATGCAGTTATAGAAGGCCAAGATTCTAGCCGTGGGCTATTATTATTTGAAATGTTAATGCCCTGACAGAAGCTCAAAAGTGAGCCGTGGAATATCATTTCATTTATAGCAAAGTATTATTCCTATGGCAATATATTTCAATTGCTTACCCATATGCTTTTTCTTGAATCACCCACTCACCCACTTTGTGAACACTGAAATCCATAAATAAATGGGATTGAATACTTTGTTCCCTGAAAATGGTAACTGTGGCTTCATGGTCTGTGAGAACATTGTGGAATGTCTCTATAACTTGGTTTGTTTGTTTTATTGTAGTTTCTAAGTAGTTTGATAACAATGTTACTTTTGTATTTGTACATGCTATTTTTTCAGATCTAACCATTATAGTGCCTTAAACACAGGAGGACGTGGGGAATGTCAAGTATTTTACAAGCTGGAAAAAAGCCAATTTTCTGATGCTTTTAGTGCATTTTCATACATTACTCAGAAGCAAGTCCTATTGAGTTCAGATAGGACTTAGTCTAAGTTAAGTGGGTATAGGGTTGCAGCTGGGAATCTTAATTTTGTAATGTATTTCAGACTTTATCCCCATAAAATCCTCCATTATATATAGATCCTAGTAACAACTTAAAGAGTTCTGGTAATTTCTTTCAAAGGAACTGTCTCCCTATCAAGTTACATAAGTTGATCAAGCTAGTTTTCTTTTACTTTCTCCTTAGCCATTTTACTGCTTCTAATAAGAATACCTATTTGGCAAACAGATAGATGAAAGAAACCCTGTCTCTTGATTTAGACTGTATTGCAGCAAAAAGCAAGTTGCTTCCAGTTTAGTTCCAAGTCATTGCATTTACAGCTGGAGTCTAATATAGTTTAATAAAAATAACTGACCTTCTCCTTGCTGGAAACCTAGCACAGATTTCTTATAAACATGACTACCTTTGCTTGCAGTCGCCTAGCAAAGTATGGGCTGATAGAATGGTTGAGGATCCGACTCCAGGATTAAATATACTACATCTAGATGTCTGCTGAGATTCATTGACTATTTTTGGCTTGGAAAAAGAAGCCAAAAGAGCTTTCCCACCCAACTTCCCAAGGATCATACCAAGGTTTGATATGATACAACCATACCAGTTTAAGTAATGCAAGACACTTTTAAAGGTAACCTTATTTAGAGACATACGGCATAGTGTAGCAGAAAAAAAATCAGCAGTGGTGGCTATACTGAAAATTTTGAATTTCTCCTAACAGTCAACAAAAACAGTTCACTATCAAAGATACATTTCATATATGTTTACAACAAATTTTGGAATTTAATTGAACTAATTGAATCTGAAAATTTTGAATTAATGCACACTTTCATTTCACTTTTAGGTTTTCCTAACTTACTTTCTGTTAGGTAGAATTTTCAAAAGCTTAAACTGTATTCAATGTACTTGTGTCTTCAAAGTAACACAAGACCCTTTGTTGCTTCATATGCAGATTTCAAATTCTAGCCTTTAGGGCTCTGAAAAGGTTCAAAGTCATTACACCAATGATTTTGAAAACTGTATGAGTATTCTATGAAAAAACTGTCCTCTCCATAAAGGCTACTCTAAGTTCCCAGGAATATTCTTGAACTTATCCGTAGCAGATCTTTGGAAGAAATTCAAACCTAGTCAGACTCATGTATTCCACACTCCCAATTAGAAAGCAGGAAGTCAGATTTCATTAAATTGGTTCCTTCTCTCAATGTGCTGGGAACCCAACTCCCATAATTGCTCTGTGGAATTGTAGAGGTGTCAATTCTAGCACATCGGGAGGACACACCAAAGGGAAGTTTTGATACCAGAAAAATAGGTGTGTGCTATTCATAATGATATTCATAATTCATAATATTTTTGTCTATTTATTTATCTGTTTTGTTTCTTTTTTAAATAGAATGTTATTACCAGCAGGATTTAATTTTTTAAAAAAACTCCAAAGATTATATTATTGTCTTTATTATTTTATCCTGCATTTTTAAGAAATGTTTTAATCATCTCACGACACAGCTAATAGCAACTTTGTGAGGTGGGTTGGTTTGAAAAACATGGCTGATCCAAAGCTATCCAACAAGCATTCATGCCTAAGGGAGACCTAGAATTCAGTTTCCTAGTTTCTATCCACTGTTCCTTGGTTCATACTAAACTGGTTCATGAACCACTATTTCTTTTCCTATCTCTTTTGAAAGCTTTCCTATAATATATGACCCTATACCACTGATGGCTAACCTTTTTGCCATCGTGTGCCAAAAGCGGGGGGAGCGCGGTGGGGTCACATGCATGCGTGCCCACATCTAAAATTCTATGTGCCCCGCCCCCTGTGCTCCCCCCACTTTGGGCACATGAAGGCCCAGTGGGCCTGGTAGGCCCGTTTTTTGCTCTCCCCAGACTCCAGAGCCTTTCTAGGAGCCTGGGGAGGGCAAAAACAGCCTTCTCCACCCCCCCCCAGAGGCCCTCTGGAGGCCGGAAACAGTGTGTTTCCTGACTTCTGGTGAGCCCAGAAGGCCCGAAAATCAGCTAGCTGGCACACACATGCGTGCCGGAGCTGAGTTCGCATGCCCACCGATATGGCTCCGCATGCCACCTGTGGCACCCGTGCCATAGGTTCGCCATCACGGCCCTATACCAAAGAGAGATAGATTGGTATAATAGTTAAGGCATTGGGTTAGAAATTGGGAGACCATGAATTCTAATCCTGACTTAGGCACAAAGCTAGCAGGGTGACCTTGGGCTAGTCCCTGTCCTTCAACCCTAAGAAGACAGCAAAGGGAAACTTTCTGAAATCTAGCTAAGAAAACTTCAGGGACTTATCAAGGCGGTCATTACGAATCAACACTGATTCAAAGACATCCCAGTGCATATAATCATGTCAAATAAATTATTGTTCTAATACATCTCCCGATGTTTGTAGATGAAACAGCATCAAGAACTAACAAACCTGATTTTTCTGATGGCATAATTATTAGAAAGATCTGTTCTGGTCTTTCTAGTTTCTGCTCCTGTCATAGTCAGTTCTGGTTTGCTCTTTATCTTCACCAAACCCATTTCCTGCTTACAGTTGTGAGAAATGTATCTTCCAGTTCTAAGAAATGCCAGATCTTTAAAATATTGATAGTGTAGTAAATACTCATTCTACAGCAAAAAAAAAAATCCTCAGTGGTTCCTTCTCAGATGCTCGGAGTTCATTAAATTCTGTGCTGATCTTTTCAGTTTATTACTTTCTCAGAAGGCTGTAACATAGACTTTGGAAAGAGAGAGAACTTTCCAACTTGGCACTGAGGGCCATAACTTCATCGCAGTCATTTGGAATCCCAGTTAGTCATACTCATATACTTAGAAGCTCTCTGTGTTGGACTTAAGCAACTATTTGGGCTTATACCACCATGCTAGTGAAATTTCCCATAAATTATGGTGTGTTTTCTTTAGGGAAGTACTGGAAGTCTGTGAAGCCTTACATCGTGCCAGTTAGCTGTAAGCTGGCTGAAACTCAAGAGAAAGAGGAGACAGAGGCAGTCTCAGCCATGGCCTTACTTTCAGTGGATGTTGAGCAGTCTTTTCTACCAGGACATGGCAGGTAAGTCCAAAATCGTAGACACTAAAAGTGTCAAATAAATTAGTGGCATGACTGAGAAAATACATTAAAAGCACCATTTTCTTTCTCTTTGTTTTTAAATCCCATGATCTTTTGTGTAACTAATCAGTAGAATGGCTTGCCTACAGAATTTGTGGCTGTTTTAACACTAGATGTTTTAAAGAAAAATTGGTCAACTATTTGTATAAAATGTTATAGGGTTTCCTGCTTGAGCAGGGGATTGGACTAGAAGACTCCAAGGTCCCTTCCAACGCTGTTATTCTGTTAAACTTTTTAAAAACTGGAAATGCAGAGAAAAATACTACATGGATTTGGGATTCTTGTTTCAGGTGCTTGGGAACTGGCTCACCTTTATGACTGGTTGCAATGTCCCACAGTCATGTTACCACAATTTGTGATATTTTTGCCAGTTTCAAGCAAAACTACCCATTCATAAGAATATGTTTAGTTATGAATGCAGCATTGGCTTAATGTAGATTTGCTTTATAACCATGGTGATTAATGACTGTCACAAAAGCTGTTACAAAATCTGATTCAATCATGTGGGTACCTCTACTTATGACTGGAAAGACCTAAGAAAACATGAAATCTACTCCCAGTTGCAATCATAAATTGAGTATTATCTGTAACTTATTTCTTACATTTGTAGCTTATTACCACACCTGCAACATTGATATTGTTTATTATCCAGTTTTGTTAAAAGAATTGAAGATCCTGAGAAAAGGATAATTGCTATATTACTGTTCCTAAGGTTAAACAAAGCACGCCCCCTTTAAAGCTTTTAAAAACAGCAGCTAAGAGAATCATCATACATTATTTTTTAAAAAAGAAATATTTGCTGCACCTGGAATGTAACACTAATGTCCAATAATGTTGTAATAAGTGGGTATCAGAAGCACAGAGCAAGACAAAGCTTCATGAAAAAAGATGAACAAGTCATTCCCAGGGCTGGCTTCATTAATGTGCTAAATTATATTCCAAAATCCCAATCCAATTGGATTTTGTGTTTGGATTCTCACTATACTCTTTATGATATAGTCATACAATCCTGCAAACTTTCAATCCTTCCCTCCTCCACCCTTTATACATTTTCCCATAGATTCCTTCTATGTGATATATCTAGACCTCATAAACATTAAATATTCATTGAAAAAACCATGCTCAGGCAGCAATTTTGTTACATTAATGAAGATTAATAAGATAGTTGTAAGAGGGAAGCGGAAACTCAAGGCATGCTTAGATGTTGCGTAGTCTTCTAACATGCTGCAGAAATGAATTTGAAATGAAATATTGGGTTTCACCAGGGATTCTCCCAATGCTTTCTGGGAAATAAAAGCAGGCAAACAGTATCTGAATCTCCATTCAGAACCTTATCGATTCATCTTTCAAGTCAGGGAATCTTCAGGAATAGAACAGCAAGTGGAACCAGTGTGACTGAACCATATGATGAAATAATCCTGCTGAATCTGTGCATGTATTGATCTTGTTAATAGCTGCATGAAAAGACATCTGGGAACCCTAATGTGTGCTTCCTTGAATTTCATGATGAAATAAAGATGAAATATAAATACATAATTATATGTAGTTATGTGCTTTTCAGCCAAAAAGGGCCCCAGAGGAGCTTGCAAAAATCAATACGACAATTTCTGTCCTCAGGATTGCACACAATAATTGCATTTGACATAATTTCATTTTCATTTAGAGATAATACAATTAATGAAATATACTATGATTTGTATGATTATGTATACATATTTCTATGATTCTATATACTATGATTTGTATGATTATGTATACATATTTCTTAGCAAATTTTAGAAGACCCTTAAGAGTCTCCCTTTAGTTTTTATGGACATATGTGACTTGAGATTTTCTTATTTGTCATCTCTGAGTTAAAAAGTCATTTACAAAATGAACTGAATCAATGATAAGAAACAAAAAATGGCAAACATTTTTGCCATTTTTTTATTAAAGTAGACAAGTACCTTTAGTAATTTAGTAATTAAATAGATAAGAGTGGCACTGTAACTTACGATGTTGTCCTAAACAAAAAAAGAACAAGGAAGTTCCAGGCTTATCTTATACTGATCAAAAATATTAATGCTTGTGCTGGCCAAAACCAGGACTTGTCTTTCTATGAATAAGGCAAATAATCCCTTTTTTAAAAGTGAAATGGGATCAATGAATAACAAAGGAGAGTTCATTTCCCCTGCTTGTCAGCTGTTGTTTCACATTGACCAAATGCGGGCTGACTTGGACATGAATTTAACAATTCTGTAAAATGAAAGAAAAACGGCCAACTCACTTTGCCAATCAAGTATTTCCACATGACGTGTGAATAGTTCAATGCACAGAGCAGTCTCTCTGTCTCTGTCTCTGCTTCTCTCTCTCTCTTTCTCTCCTCCCTTCCCCCTCTTTCTCTCTCTTCCCCTCCCTCCCCCTTTCTCTCTCTCTCTAATCACTCAGAAAAGTTTTACAGTGTCTGTAAAAAAAGAAAAAAGACATTGTACACTTCTTATTTTTATTCAAGCCAAATGCTTTTGGCAGTTCTGCAGAACAAGGAAGAGTCCAAATGGAATAGAATTGGACTGAATCCATTGAGTAAAAGAAAGGAGAATAAGGAGTCAAAAAACCCCAAATCCTTTACAAATGAATTGCTTTAAATGTTACGAAAAGAAAGTTGTGGATCTATTGAAAAAAACTTTTTGTATAAGACACCTAGCAGAGTGGCTTTCTGATCTTAATTACTTGGACAGATAAATTAGGCTGCAACTGGCACAGAAACCAACTGTTATCTTTAATCCCCAAGATCCAGCAGGTTTGTTGCCCTAGTCTAAGTATGTTCATCATGAACTTGCAACAGTAAAATTTGCTTGTAAAGTATTGAGTTGCCCAAGTCTCAAATGAATTTCAAATGAATTTCAAATGAATTCCATAACAGATCCTGTTGGAAGTAAATTTGGATGTTTCATTCCCAGAGAGTCTATGCCAAAATGGATGTTAGAAACAAATAAATTTCTGCAAGTATCATCCTTCCCTGTGGTGGGGTATGGGAGGGCAGGGAAATCCAAGGCTGACAAGGATCTGCACACTTCTGTGAGTTGTCAGAAGATTTATTTCATACTGATAGAAAAGAATAGTTGAACAGTTGAACAGTAGGGTCCTTGGTACTCTCTGAGCTTAGTTGTTTCAGAGACTAATGCAAAGCCAAGAATCTGTAGCATTCCCGTGCATGCAACTTAAAGTATGGATTGAGTACATAGGTGGTGCCTTTGTGATAATAAAAAGGGACCAACTCAAGAACACACACAAAACCATCAGCAGCATCTTCAAAGAAATAAAATTCTATAGGGAAAAAGAAAACAATAACATACTAGGCTCACACAGAAGCATCAAGAGCAAATTCAAAACACAAATCTATCATAAAACTAACCACACCAACCAAGTGCTCCACTACGAAAGCAACAATTCAGTCTTCCATAAGAGCATTACATGAAACCAGAAAAAGGAAACAGATAATCTATACATTTTCCAATAAAATGGATATTCATGCAACTCCATTAAAAAGTGCCTGACCACTCAACTCAGTAGAGTACAATTAACATAAGCTGTGAAAAATATAACATTGCCATACTCCAAAACATCTCAGAAACCACCAACAGACTATTACAGCCACATTGGCTGTAATAGTGACATCATCATAGCACACAAACAAAAACATCCTAAGTCAATGTAAAGACCCAGCAAGCCTACAAGAAAAAAACAGGAGTCATTTACAACATACAGTGTAAGGATTCCTACAGCTATCATGTGGGAGAAATAGACTAAAGATTAGAAGTGCACATCCATGCACACCAGTCAGAAGGTCTGTTGAAAACTCCTTAATTTCATAACACATGGACAGACTTATACAAAGTTTCAACTGGGAAATTTATTTATTTGTTTATTTGTTTGTTTGTTTGTTTGTTTGTTTTAATTTGTATACCACCCTTCTCCAGCAGGACTCAGGGCGGTGAACAGCCAGAATAAAACAGAACATACAAAATTTAAAAACAGTTTAAAAATAATTAAATATTTTTGGCCGCAATTTAAAACAACCCAATTAAAATCAATTAAATTTAACCAAAACTGTGGGATCAAGCCAGCCCGGCTAGGTGAAATAAATAAGTTTTCAGGGCCCGATGAAAAGTCCGGAGGTCTGGTATTGTATGTATCTCTGGGGGGAGGTTGTTCCAGAGGGCGGGCGCTGCCACAGAGAAGGCTCTCCCTCTGGGGGTCGCCAGCCGACACTGTCTGGCGGACGGCACCCTGAAGAGGCTCTCTCTGTGCGAGCGTACTGGCTGGTGGGAGGCTATTGGTGGCAGAAGGCAGTCTCGTAAATACCCCGGCCCTAAGCCATGGAGCACTTTAAAGGTGGTCACCAACACCTTGAAGTGCACCCGGAAGACCACCAGGAGCCAGTGCAGCTCGCGCACGAGAGGTGTCACATGGGAGTGCCCCGTCGCTCCCATAATCTCCCGCGCGGCCACATTCTGAACCAGCTGGAGCCCCCAGGTACACCCCAGGGGGAGCCCCATGTAGAGAGCATTGCAGTAGTCCAGGCGGGAGGTGACGAGTGCCTGAGTGACAGTGCATAGGGAGTCCCGATCTAGAAAGGGACGCAACTGGCATATCAGGCGAACCTGATAAAAAGCCTCCCGGTCACGGCCGTCATATGCTCTTCTAAAGACAGCCATGCATCCAGGAAGACACCCAAGTTGCGAGCCCTCTCCGTAGGAGGAAGTGATTCGCTCCCAATAACCAGCGATGGCACCAGCTGGCTATATCGGGACGCCGGAAGCCACAGCCCCTCGGTCTTGGAAAGGTTGAGTCGGAGCCTGTTTCTACCCATCCAGGTCCGCACGGCCTCCAGGCACTGGGACATCACTTCAAGGGCATCGTTGGGGTGGCCTGGGGTGGAGATATACAGCTGGGTGTCATCA